AAGACCAGGTTGGAGAAACCAACAGCAACAGGTGACCTGAACAAAGGGGAGCTCATGAACCCCAGATTGATAGCTGGGAAACCAGCACAGGACTGATCCAGACCCCCTTAATGTGGGTGGCAGTTTGGAGGTCTGGGCAATCTATTTACTTCTGGTAGTGGATCATTATTTATCCGTAGTATAGCAATGGACTTTGAGAGCCCATTCCACATAGAGGGATACTCTCTTAGCCTAGACACATGGGGGAGGGTCTAGGCCCTGCTCAGGATGATATGACAGACTTTGAAGATTCCCCCATGGAAGGCCTCACCCTCCTGGTGATCAAAAGGGGCTGTGGTAGGACATAGGCAGGGGGTGGGGGGACGGACTGGGATTTCCATGTAAAACAAGCTTGTTTCTAATATAAATAAAAAGAAGAAAAAAAAGTGACCAATAAATAAATACTAAATACAAAAAGGCCCCCAAAAATAGCAAAAAGGAAATTTTGCACAAAAATATCCCAAATAAAATCGAAGGGACCAGTTCCCTATTTCGGCAGCCATGACAGTAACATGTGTTTGCCATGACCTTGTCCTAGTCACTAGAAGTCAGATGCCTGCCTCGTAGCAAGGAACCAATCAGAAGTTAGCTGGCGGCGCTATGCTTTATGGCTCTGGGTGTGCTTTATAGACAAGCGCACAGCAATGAAGAGCAGAGCATAGCCATCACCCTGGGAGGGCCTATGGGCCATAACAATCAACACAGGGCAAGCCCTCCAAGCCTGGAGGCACACCAATACTGAGCCTGAGCGTAACCCTAGATACTCCCCTTATGCTGCCCTACAAGATCTCTATGCAGCTGGTTCAAGCTGAATTTGCTAGCCATCCGCCATCGCCATGGTGGGTGGGTGAAAGACCCGAGCTAACATGGGGTTAGCTCCTTAAACAACAATAAAGCCCCATGCAGTTTGCAGCAAGTTTTCGAATCCGCCTGGTGATTGGGGTGACCGAGGTCCTGGGCTGGAACCCTGGAGGCCTGAGTTTCCCGGAGGTCTAACAAAATAACAAAGTGGCACATGCATATGAACATGTGGTACAGAAACAGCAGAGTGACCATTCTATTAGCAGTGAGTTCTGGCCCAAATTATTCAGCTTGAGGTAAAAGAAAAGAGAATCTGAGCAGCACAGAATGGCTGAAGAAGGCTGAGAAGGAGAAGAGATTGACATCAGAGACTGAATAAGGCCCCAGGCCAGGAAGATGATGGCCACAGCTGCCTCTTTGCTCTCTGAAGAAAGGGTTTCCTGTAGCTGTTCTTACAACAATCTAACGGGCTACCATGGAGACATACAGATATCCCCCGAGGCCTTTAAAAATCAGACTGAATTCATCTGTAGATAATGTGATTCTACCTTGAAGGCACAAAGACAAAGGGAAGGAGCTTTCAAGCCTTGCTAATTTAGTCATCTGAGTTCACTGAAGACTGCCTCCTATTAGGGTTTTAATAACTATAACTCACAATAAAGCAAGAGAATTTCTAAACTGAGGTCTGACTGCAAACAAAAGACCTATGGAACTTGAGATCTATTGTTTGAAATTAAATAAGAAATCCAGTAAATAAATGTAGCTAATAACCTCAGGGTTCACATACAAATTTCTAATGTTTTCCTTTTATTTGAAATATACAAAACTAACTATGTAACAAAGCTTGCTCAAAGGGGAGCACAAAGAGCACAATTCCTGAATTAAGGCCTGCTCATTAAAAGTTCACATTTTATATCCAGACTGTAATTCCTTACTCCTCTTTCGAGCCTTGTTTATTCCTGTCATCCCAAAGCAAAAGAAATTCATATTTGGTTTTGATTACAACATTGATCCAAATTTCAATTAAAAACTAAATCCACAATTGAAGATATAGTATATTACCATTTAGTTTCTCTTCAAAATGTAAATATAAAAATATTTGGTAGTATACAAATCTCCTGAAATAGAACCTAAGTGTATAGGGATTAAAGCATACAATTACATTATTGGGTTTGCTCATCCTATTTCCTACTCCATTCTAATCCATTTCAGACCCTTCTACCATAGTTTCCGAAGGAATTTCTAGTGCCTATCTATGCCCCTCTTTCCTTTATCTACAGTACAGGTATAGTGGTGTAGGAAGAAATGATGGAATTGGAGAGGGATATCATCACAGTCAGAGGATATGGTGATAAGTGCACTATGATTGGGACTCCTAACAGGGTCCAATTTTTGACAAGTGTCTATTTTCTATGTCCCCAGTTTCTGAACTCAGTACATTTGTGCTCTATTTCTAATCTCTGGAAAGCCATGTCTTAGTCAGTACTCCTGCCTTGGGGAAGCCAGTGCACTGAATGCTCTGCTCACGAAGAGACCACTGAGGAAATGCTGCTGTGACAAGACCACACAGTATTGAGAGAGCCTCTGAGTCATCATGCTCCCTCCTCAAAAAGAAGAAAAGCAAATTAGAGAAATACGAAAACTCACTAACTTCAGGTTTACAAACAAGAGCCTAGAAGAGGCTTCCTCTTCCTCTGAAGAGGATTCCTTTCTCTCAGGTTGTAGTTTCCCTCTTATGGCAACACATTGTTAGGTCACATGAAAGACATTTGACCCAGTAATGACAGCAGAAAGATAGCTGGAGATGCCCCCCACCCCCCGCGCTACAATGAGATTGATGACTAACTTATATGCCATCCTAGAGCCTTCAATCCAGAAGCTGATGGAAGTAGAAGCAGACACCCACAGCTAAACAGTGATCTGAACTGTAATCCAGTTGCAGAGAAGGAGGAATCATGAGCAAGGGGTCAAGAACAGGCTGGGGAAACCCACAGAAACAGCTGACCTGAACAAGGGAGAGCGCTTGGTCCCCAGACTGATCACTGGGAAACCAGCATGGAACTGATCCAGACCCCATGAATGTGGGTATCAGTGTGGAGGCCTCAGAAATCTATGGGGCCTCTTGTAGTAGATCAGTTCTTACCCTCACATAGGAATGGATTTTGGGAGCCCATTTCACATAGAGGGAAACTCCCTCAGCCTAGACACTTGGGGGAGGGTCTAGGCCCTATCCCAAAGGATATGACAGATCTGAACCTACAGAATGCCTAACCCTCCCTGGGGAGCAGAAAGCATATGGGATACGTAGGGTATTAGTGGGGGGCAGGGGAAAAGCAGAGGGAGAGGGAACTGGGATTGACATGGAAAACAATCTTGTTTCTAATTTAAATAAAAACTGGAGGAAAACAAACAAACAAACAAGACAAGCAACAGGAAATGCCTTGTTGCTGGTAGGCAAAAGCCCTGAAAGCAAGTCAAGCACCTGAGCTCCACAGAAAAAAGAGTTGCACACAGGGTCTTTCACTACATAGGCTGCTGTCTCCAGGCACATCTTCATTTCCTGCTGCTTGCAATTGCAGCATGCCCATGAGCTAGTACAGTACTTTCTCAGTTACTGCAGACCTTTTAATGCAATTGGTTCAAGTACAGAGAACCCAGTCTGCATTTTCGTGGGCAATTTATGGATCCAATTTCCTGTCATACTGAGGATATTTTGGATTTTAATATAAAAATATAGTGGCTTATCAGAATCACAGTTCATCTCCTTTAATTTATTTGATATATAAAATAGAAAAATACAATCAGACTATGGATATTATTTCAAATAATGCTTTGTAGCAGAGATACTTGATACAGGTTCATATTAAATTAAAAACATAAAAGTTTAAGAGATGAATTAACTGATCTTCTATATAATTTCCTAATATATAAAGTGGGATTTGACTCATTTATAGGTTAAGTTTATATATCTGGATATAAAAGATAATTTCAAGGTAAAAGAATAATACAAATATTCCCTTAATATAAAGCTAGAAAGTAAACGATAACTCAGTATTAGTTATTTAAGTTTACATAGGCTACCATAATTCATTTTATTTAATTGTTAAGAAGTTCTTTTAGCTACTCTTCTCCTCATATACGTATGTGGATAACCATCAAACTCTTTAATATGTAATTCCCCATGGACTTATTAAGAGCCATACAGAGCAATCACAAGAGTTGCCCTAAAAGTTCAAATACTTTTAAATGGCATGTATGTTATTATACCTTACCTTGATTGAGAGATTTCCAAAAATTGTACCATATATCACACATCATTATATATATATACATCATGTAGTTATTCCAATCACTGTTATATACACAAACACAGAAAAATCACTTTTGTCTCTGTGAACATATATGTGTTTATGATCCAGTTCAAATACCCTTTTGTGTAATAGAATAATACAAATTATATACTGGGTATGAATACATTATCATTTACATGGAAAAAGTAATACTTGATAAGAAATATATCAGTCTTATTCACTATTGAAAAAAAAAAAAAAACATAAGAGGCAAATCCAGGAAAAAGACTTTTCAATGTCTTAGTCAGTAGCCACAATTACTTCATCTTTTAAAAATGAGTGTAGTATGAATTTTCAGTCAAGGGAAATGTCTCTAGTAGAGCCAAAACACACATCATTTGAAGTAGTTATTATTCACTAATTCCAAACAAAAAGTCAGCTGTACTTATTTGTACTTCCCATCTCCTTTTGTTAATTATTAATCATATAAATTAAGCTACAGTAATCCTTTCCTTATAAATATCCTTAGTCTTCTCAAGTGCTGAGGACTATGTCAGGCCATGTGTATGCTCAGCACACATTCTCTCAGCAGGCAACACACTCAGATTAACTTTTTTATTAATGGTGTAATAATGGGCTGCAATACTTGAGCCACAGTCACTTCTAGAGAACTGAAATGGTTAATACTCTGCTGCTGTACAAAACAGCCACTAATAATGTAGTGGGGTAAAATTGAGAAAAGGAATAATTAGGGAGGAACTTTATAAAATGCTGGCTCTACATATGCTGTAAATTTATATATCATTAGCTTACGTCTACAGGAATGAAAGGGCTCAGTGTTTGCCTGATGTAAGTACACTGTGTACATACCGGCCTTGAACATCGTTCCAATCTCTCAGGAGCCTATCGTTTTCTTTCTGCAGGTGCTCATTTTTGGCTTGTTTTTCTGCAATGGTGTCCAGGCAGTAACAAATGAGTTCTCTAATGACTTCGGTTGAGTTTGGAACTTTGTCTAGGTTGAAGGAACCAAGCCTAAACTAAAAAGAAAGAAAGGAAAGGAAAACATGTTTAGTTTCAGAATAGTGTGGAGATGGAACAATTGAACAGTCCAGTTTTTAAGATACTTTTTTTCTGAGGGGAAAATGTATTTTGATTGAAACTGTACTTACTACATACAATACTGTGAACTTAAAATTGGGTCACCTCCTAGTTTCTTATTGAATTTATCATATGAATCAACAAAATAACCTAAAAATAATGTCTCTTACTTACGGTCAGAAAAGAAACCAATTACCTGCTCTTAGGTATGATATACTATCCTCTTACAAAAGCCTAAGTTTATGTTACTCTGCTCAGAGAAATTGGACATGTTACATGTTAGGATTTTTAAATCATGTACTACCAAAATAAATGGATATTTTTGTATTACAACTATTGGAATAATTTATACATAAGGTACTACTGAAGAAATATCTAGTATTGGTAATAGTTAAGTTAAATAGTTAAATACCCAATTGGTGATAGTAAAAAGAAAACTAGAACTTTGAGAACCTGATAATATCAGAAAACTACAAAGGAATTACTTTTATGTAAATACTGTGATTTGTTAACAATACTACTACTAAATGACAACTTGAATACTTTCGAAAAAGGTGAGAATCGTAAAATAACTTTAGGAGGGAATGTCAGAATAAAGCGTTACAATGCATGTGTTAGTTATGAAACTCAAATTAACACATAGATTAGTTATCTATATATTTACATAAACAAAATTTCATATCATGTCCATCAATTTTGTACTCCTAGGTATCTACTTTCTAGTATTTATGTATTTAATAAAAGTATTTCCAAAATGTATCCTTTCTCAGGTTGAGACAAAACATATCATATAATTTACGAAACAAACAAAAATAACCAAACTAGTAGTGATTAATACAGAAATCCAAAGCCTATAAGCTATAACTTCACTAAACTTCCTTTAGTGTGATATCACTTGGATATAGAATAACAAAACATGAACTCTTCTAGATAGATGTTTCCTAATTTAAGTGCTCATATAGAACATATAGTTAGAAGACAGTTTCTCATCATGAAAACTATGAGAAAAATTTAAAATATGAATCTCAGATGTAAAGAAACACTTAAACTCATTTAATACATAAAGAGACATCAGTACTGTGATGGTTGCTTTTAACTGTCAAGGTGACACAATCCAGGAGCACTTGGGAAGAGTTTCCCAATTACTGTCTAGATCAGGTTGGCATGAAGATAAGTGTACAGGGATAATCATGACTAAGTTAATTGAGGTGAGAGAAGTCACCACTGTCATTGTGCCTGAGCAGGGAATCTCGGACAGGAAAAGGATGGATAAGGAAAGCACAGCACAGCATGCTGTGCACTCTGCTTTCTACCAGTGCCTGTGGATAGAGGTCATCCAGCTCTCAGGTGGCTCTCACTGCAATGATTTCCACTACAGAGACTGTAACCCACAACTGGAAACCAAAATATACCCTGTCTCCTGTAGTGACTTCGTCAAGGCATTTTGTCACAGCAACAGAAAATAAAACTAAAAGAAACATTTAGAGACTTTGAGACTATAAACACATTTTAGAGGGTTAATATTACATTATTAACCACAAAATATGGATATATACATTACTATTTCTAAGCCTAACCTGATCATAATGTTCACATAATCCATTGTTTTATTGCATCTCTCAGTGGCTCTTAAAAAAGCTAAAATGCTACCAGATAAAGAAAAGAATTTCCTTTACTTCAATGAGTATACCCATTTGAAAGGAACTCATTTGCTTGGGTTAAACTAAACAATTTTAAGAAACATTTAACAAAAGAATGCTTTTGGAAAGAGCAGAAATTCAGGCGGTCTAAATTATTTGAGACTGCTGTATCTGATTTAATTATTTATCTTAAACTTTTCATCAAATGGTCAAAAACATTTGAAAATTGTCATGTAATGAAAGGGGAGTCCATGTAATAGGGATACAAGTTTAAAAGAGAAAATTTTAATGACAAGAAAAGTATATACACTGGAAGGAAATTGGAACATGTACCTTTTGAAGCTTCTTTGAGTGTAAACACACTGAAGGGTAAAGGTCATCTGTACAACATTACCTTGTGAGATTATATAAATCAAGAAGAAAACTAAGTTTACTTCAATTTTAAACAGCAGATGACACTGTCAACAGAACACATATCCACAAAGGTTCCTGGCATCCTCTTTGTATTACTGCTGTCAGTGTAGTAAGAAAGGTGTACACTTTTAGAGGAGAAAGGTTTTCATCATATGAGACTTTGAAAATGTGAAGTGTGTAGAGAATGTGCCCACACTTTGACTTGAATTTTAAAAAAGTCCAGCACTATACATTATGACTTAGGAGAAAAGGAAGGGAAGATAAAAACTAATTCTAGGTCAATGTTTGTCAAAATATCACTCAAATATTAAGAAATATTTTAAATGACATGATATATGAATAGACTTTATTTATATTCATTCCTCATTCCTAACTTCTCCAAGATCCACCCATAACACCCATCTCAATTTTATGTTACCTTTTTCAAATAAAAAAAAATCTTAACTTTGTCTTTCATTAGTTATAATGTTGAAACTAAACTGAAGGCATCATTTTTCCTTCAGAGTAAGCAATTGCTAGCTATGAGTGCCTTCAAACACTACTAAACTCAAAGGTGAGATCCTTAAAAAAAAATCATAAAAATGCTAAGTATCCCTAAGTCTCTAAACACGATACAGGTTTGGTTTTATAAAGCTATTTGTATGCTTAATTTTTGAATGTATTGCTGAGAAAGAACAAAGATTTACAATTTCCAAACTACTTATTATAAGAGCTACACATGCTTTTCATAAAATACTTACAACAAGGATAAGGAAGAACTTTGTTCATTATACTCTGATCTAGGGTCTCAAGGAAACAAAGTTCTCCTACTTCCTGCCATTTTGGAATTATTCCAGGCATCACTGACCAATGATGCCACTACATCATAAACATAAGAAGTCATTAATCACTGATTAGACCAGATTCTAGTATGGTTTACTCTGACACCCTACTTCAACTAACAAATGAAAACAAATAGCCAGCCTGGAAGACACAGACATTTCAACAAACACTTTCTTTTTGACAAAATTGAAAAAAAATGGGGAGAATAACAAAAAGTGACTAAGTATTTAACTGAAATTTCTCCCCAAAATTATCTCATTAAAGGTTACCACTTAGGTACTCCAGTTCAAGCAATGATAAACTGCACTTAACTGGCTCTCCTGTGGTAATGAGAAAATCTGGGACTAAGAAAAGAAAAAATTAAAAAAAAAAAAAAAGCCAACAGTCAAACTCCTGTTTTCAGGGCTGGGCAAATGAATAAAAATAGAAAATTGAAAGTCATTCAAACAGGGTGATATCCATGTTTATGTGGCTTTTCACCACATGGCCCAGTATAGTCCACAAAGAGAATGCTAGACCTCAAGTTGAAATATCACTTCCTGACTGCAAGAGCCAAAGAATGGAATGTACACACACAGAAACAATCATTGCCACAGAAACAGAGAGATACACACAAGTACACAAATAATAGAGAGAGACACAAATGAGGAACAAATTTATTGACAGGCTGTGAAGAGGTGATAAGGCTTAAATCACTATGTCTTCCTGGAACATCATAAAGGAAACTTGTGGGACCTCAGTATAAACCAAGAGTTCCTACAGAGGGTTTTAAATTCACATAATGCAGTCAGTCAAAGGGAAACAAAACAGTGGACATGCAACTTTAAAAGTGTTATAAAAAATATGAATTAGCTGGTTATTTCAAATTTTGATTTTAAAAGAGTACTCTAGAGACAAAGTGAATAAATTAGAAGGCTATTCATATGAATATAATCACTAAATTTCAGAACACTTTGAACAAAAGGGGGACTTTAAAAATGAAACAGGTTACACACGAAGGATCAGGATTATAATGACACCTCATTTCTGCTACAAGAATGGAAAACAGAAAGCAGTGAATTAATTTTTCCAAAATGAACAAGACATTTTCTGACAAGAAGCTATCTTAGAATATTTTGAATCATGACAAAGCAAGACACTTGTTTTAGTCTGTTCAGGCTACAGTAACAAGATGCTTCAAACTAGCTAATTTATAATTAACAGAAATGGATTGTTCATTATCCTAAGAAGTCTAAGAAGAAGCATTCAGTGTCTAGTCAAGGGCTTTTTCTCAGAGAAGACAGCTTTAAGCTGTATCCTCAAAAAGTTACAAGGAAGTTAACTACTAAGGTCCTTCACACTCCTTTGTTAAGGGTATTAATCCCATTCATGAAGACATAGTAATTTAGGCCTGGTTTAGTACTGCCATATTAGTGATCAAAAATTAACATGAAAAATTTGACAAAAGAAACACATTTATATCACAGCAATACAAAGTCAAGCAACATGGCATCCAGTACAAAAGAAGAAAATGAAACAAATCTTTAAAATAATGGTTGGTTTGTATGTATCAACTGACATCTTTTACCATCACTTTCAGATCCTTGTACTGTTTTATGATAATAGGTCTTAGTGGCAGTTTAACAATTTAGGACTAGGTTTATATGATATGTGGGTGTCAGACTGTTTGATTTTTTGCATAATCCTTTAAAAATTAAAGAAAAATAAATAAAGAGCTGAATACTGTGCTGTTTCTTGTAGAAGTGAACATGAGATCATTTTCACTGAGGGGAAGTAATAAAAAGACAGTCAGCTCTTGTTCCATTTTAGGAGAATGAAGTTGTATCTGCCATTTCCTATGAGATCCAATGCACATAGGATGATATTGTGTGTTGAGTCACTGTAGATTGTGAGGTAATTGCTTAGTTCATTATCAATCCTCTGCATCCACTTCACTAGTGTGGAACTGGCTGGTACAATCTATATTTTCCTGAAACCAATGTCACTTGACTTCAGTTCTGGCAATAGAACAAGTTCCAACCATATTCTTCTCAACAACTCTTTCCAATTTTAATCAATCTAAA